TAGCGTGGACTACTACTTAGTACATGATGAATCATGATGTGGGTTCTATTTCTCTAAATGCAGTCACTACACTGATTTTGTACAATCAAGTACTACTTCTGATACTTCTGAGAGCAACTGCTCTCTAGACCGAGATCGCAGACGACTAAGCAATTACCTCGTTATTCACAGGGCATCCATCTTTACTACTAGATACTAATGATCAGGTTTACCCTTTAATTACTGTAGGTGGAGATAAATCCTGCTATCGTGCATACAAACACCCAGCATCCAGCAATCATCATTTCATAACAAATAAATTCATACTCATTCAATATTAAACAACATCATCATACTAATCCATCACAAAAACAATCTACTCCTCCGCCTCCACCTGAAAATCCTCCTTGACCCTCCTCGCAAAGTCATCATCCGTCACAATCTGACACGCCACAACAGCCATGCCCGCCGCACAGGCCAAACAGCGCTGATGCGCCTCAGGGGACCCAGCACCATCGGTGAACCCCGGGGTATGATTGACGCCATCTGTCGGGATGGTGAAGAGGCCATGGAATCCAGGGACGGCGTAGGAGACGTTTCCTATATTTACCATAGTTAACAAATCTGATCTATCAATGAGATAGATATCTAGGTTGCGAGCTGACGTACCCATATCCGTAGACGCCCCGGTAAGTTTACCAGACTGCCCGGCGTTATTCATCACAGTGTGATGACCCATTGCGCGCATAACAGAGACGTAGCTCTCGCAGATGGGATTATTGGTTTTAAGGTCGTCGTATGAGATGCCCCTAAACCATCATCGCATCACAACATTAGTACTATTCCATGAGATTTGAATGAGGGAAATCAGATAACTCACCACTCAAACTGCACCCCACAGCCCGTGGCCATTGCCGCCGCCTCAAAACACTTAACCACCTTCTCCGTCAGCGTCTTCAGACCCTTCTTCATCGGCGACCGAATATAATAATCCACCGACGCCGACATAGGAATAACATTCGGCCTATCCCCGCCACTAGCCACAACGCCATGAATCCTCTGCGTCGGCAGGATCTGCTGCCTCAACAGAGAGATATTCACATACGCCGCGACCACCGCATCCAGCGCATTCACGCCCTCCCACGGCGCAGCGGCCGCATGTGCCGGCTTGCCCGTGAACGTCACGGTGACTTTATCGTTCGCCAGAAACCCGCCCGGTAGGACCGTCGCCAAGCTCAGCAGCTCGGGATGGCCCGGGGCCATGGGAATAGGGTGGACCATCAAGCAGGCGTCGACGTCCTTGTAGGCGCCATTCTCGAGGAGACGGACTTTCCCGCCGCCGGATTCTTCGGCAGGGGTGCCGAGGAGGCGGACGGTGTAGTTAGAGTCAGGGGCTTGGTGTTTGAGGGCCTCGCAGGTGGCGATGAAGGCGGCGATGGAACTCGTCGCGATGAGGTTGTGGCCGCAGGCGTGCCCGATGTTAGGGAGAGCGTCGTATTCGGCGTTGAAGACGATGTTGCGGCCCCCGGTGCCGTGGGTGTAGGTTACTTCCAAGGCGGTTTCGAGGCCGTAGGCGGAGCGTTGGACGTGGTAGGCTGGGTTGGTGCGTTGGAGGGTTTCGAAGAGCTTGCAGATGTTGTCGTGGGCTTGGTGTTCTGTGTAGGCTAGTTCGGGGGTGGACCAGATCTGGGACTGTTAGCAATTATGTCTGTGTTGAGGTGGGTTGGAAAGGGAAGCTTGCCTTCTTGTTGATGTCTTCTAGCTCGGAGGCATGCTTGTGGAGGGCTTCTTCGACCCTCGTGATGAAGCGTTGCTGTGTTGCTTCGAGCTGCATGATTGTTCGTATTTACTAAGTAAAGGTCTGGCTAGATTGTATCAATCAGGTACCAGAATTGGAAACTGGCATGTACGGCAATTTATAGCTGGATCGTGCATGGTGGAGATGATTCTCCGCATTGATTGCGGAGATCCGAGAGGGGGCTATCAGTATCAGAGCGATAAGCGATAGGAAGGAACCTATCTACTACTAGACTATCTACTACTGCTTTTGGTACTCTTGAAGCCATCGCGATTGCCGATACCGAGGTCACATGACTGGTGCCGAGCCAGCCAATCGGCGGGCGAGACTCGGCAGGATGGCGGCTTGAGGGAAAAAAGAGCATCGGTTGGCGATTCAATTCTCCGCAGTTCCTCTTTCCCCTCTCCTTTCTATGTCCTCTTGGTTGGTTTGTCTCGGCTCGGTGTCTCTAATGGCCCTGCTTCGACCAGGTTACATGTCAAGTCTGACAGGACATTCCTCCCCGACAGGCACACCGCGAGCAAGTGGAGCAACGGCAAGCACGCGATAGAACCGATAGACGATGCATGGGCTCGGCAGGAGGACTCGGTCCAAGACTGGTAAGGATCCCCACCAGTTCTGTCTTACGCCAATTGTCTAGGTTGCTTTTTTTGTCTCAGAACGGTCGGACTTACTGCACCATAGGTTGTCGCACGTGTAGAATTCGCAAGGTCAAATGCGACGAAGAGAAACTATTCGTTCCCGGTCAGGAGGAGCCACAATGCCGGCGTTGCACAGCGGCCCGGATCGTATGTGAGTGGAAGGGCGGCCCCATCCCCCGGGGTCCAGCAAAAAGGCCCGGAAAAGACCCTCGCTCGGTGGAAGCGCAGATGGTCCGTCAGTCTGTTCCGTCTCCTGCACGCTCTTTATCGCCCACCGGGGCTGCTGGGAGTAGCATTCAAGCGGCCAATTCCCTTGTTATATCGGACTTTGATCGCTCGTGCTTGAATTATCTTCAGGATTCCGCGCTGGTCGTGATCCTCGGAAAGCATTGGCCATGGTCTACAGTCTCTTATGCATACCACAAAATCGCAGTTAAAGAACCCATGGTCATGAGCATGATGTTGGCGACTACATCTAGTGAGATCAACCGGTCGCGTCTGTACGACCGGGACAAGACGGAGGGACCATGTACTATTGAGAGCCTGTCCGACATGGACAGTAGATTGCACTATGGTCGGGCTCTCTCTGGCCTCCGGGAAGCGCTGAAACCAGACGTCAAGTCCCCGGAGCAGATCGAAGCCATCTTCATCACCTTGTGGATGATGATTGACTATGAAAACCGATTCGGCAGCGGGACTGCTGGAATCAATATTCACATTCGCGGAATCGAGAGTCTACTCTTCAACCACGTCGTCCCTTCACTCAAACAAATAGGGCCTCCAGATATCGCAATTGCAGAAGCAAGTTCAAAGACTGCACTATGTCATGTCACTCACGAGGCCCAGGGCACGAGCGCATGTGACAGCCCTGGGCCGCAACAGACTGCCGAATTGTCCAAGAATAGGCTTCGACATACGGCGGTCCCTCTTTTTCTGCTTTGGACTTTGTACTTTTTCACACCAGGCGCTTTGCTCTCTGGCCCAGGCGCTGCAAGGCTCGATGCCGACCTGTTCCGGTTTTTCATGAAAGAGGAAGCAGGAAGTGTGGGATTGAGTCTTTCCGAGCTATACAGGATTGGCAGACAGTCACCGTCTCGATTCTGGGGGGATTCCTACCCCACCACAGCCCAGCTGGATGATATGGAGAATATGCCCGGGCTATCGCTGTATCATCGAAGTCATGTACTGCAATTCAAGATTACGGAGTTATTTCGGCAAGGAAGTCATTCGGTCACGACGGGTCTTGAGATCATTAGTGAACTCAACATGTTATCTGATGTAAGTTCCCATCTCAATCCTGCAGATGACCTGTCATTTATCTTCATATGGATGGTGACGGCGACTAATCCGCTGATCAGGAATACGATACCTTGTTGGGTTCCGCCAAGTCTGCGCCCTCGTGTGAAATCGTGGGTGACGGACGTCGCGTGATGGAAACGATCTTTTGGGCAGCCATTACTTACTACGGCACGATCGTGTACTTCCACCTGTGCTTCAAAGACACCCTGGCCAAAGGTATGCAGGGTGCAGGGATGATGACTCTGCATGATGCCGTTTCCCAGGTTCTGGAACTCTCTTTGAAGCTACATCGCAGCAGACCGCACTTGATGGTGCGCATCACGTGGCCTCTCTTCATCGCGGGGATAGCCACATCCGACAGGATCTACCAAGACTGGGTGTCGTTTCGGCTGCGCGAGCTTGGTCGCTATGGGCTCAACTACAGCCGGGTCAGCGCCCGGTTTGACGAGATCATCCAAGGAGGCGATCCCTTTGCGCACGGACGAAGGCCATTGTGCGCGCAGTAGTGCAGTCGGCAAGACGTTGAAGTGAGTTGATAGGATATCTGGATCCCAGTGGTGACGACGATAAGGCCAGGATAGCCCGGGGATCTGCTTGACGTGTGGTTCTAGAAAGTTTCGGGAAGGGGATCCTAGCCAAATCGTGGGGACTTCCCAGACTGCCAACATCTGCTACACTCTAGACGTGCAGCTAGTGGTCGTACATTATCGCGCTCATTCAGGGCCTGCCATGCATAACGATTATGCTTGGTTCTAAAGGAGACATCGTGGTCATGGTGACGACCCTATTCGAACAAATCAAACGGGCATGGACGGGCTTAGAGTTTGCCAACCATAGCACTAGTCTTGGCAAAGATATACACGGAAACAAAGGACTTTCCATTGCGGTCACTGGCTATCTGCAATGTTGTAGCGGGCTATTCGCTGAAATAAGATGTTTGACAAATCGGGCATCTATACTGATGGTATTCGAACCAGGATGCGAGACAGGACGCATGAAAGACATGGTGGCAACGGTTAAGGACCAGGATGTTTCTCCGCCCAGACACTCGATCGGCCTCCATCGCGTCATGCAGGCTGGGTTCGTCGTGGGGTGATGGTGCGACCCAGGCCGGCTCGGGAAAAGGAAGGGTATCTTGGGACGCTGCTAGGGTTGACAGACAAATGGGACTACCAAGGAAGCCATGCGTCAGTTCTATGGTACGCAAGTCCGGCCAAGACCGCTACCAACAGTGTGTCCCCGCATCTCGGCCAAGCGTTGGCGCCACCCAAAGGAGAACAGCCTTACCAGGATTCCTGAGCGTATAGCCGGTCCTCGCAGCTCGCGTGTGTCTGCTCGTCCAGCCATCGGTCGACCGATACCTGCCGCATTATGCCGCCATCAGTGAGGTTGCGGAGTTCGCTACTGCGTCTGGCAGTTGCCCGTCGACGATGATGGTACAACACGATACTGTCAGGTTAGAGATACGTCTAAACAATGGAATTCAATCAGCGTGCAGCATCTCCACCAGGCATGCGTGCAGCAGTTGAGCTTCCAATAGGGGACACTGGAACACTAGCACTTACAATGGGATCGTACTCAAGGCCGCAAACAACACCACAGCACCAACGATGACACCCACTATGCCGGTGTGGTGCGTATCCCCAGCCATCGGAAGTATACGGAGGAAGAACAACAAAGATAAGATCGATAGGTCAACTGCGCTTAGGAGATGACGCGTCGGATAAATCGGCTCGAAGCCAGCGACTCACTCCTCACGACAGCCTCCAAACAGCATCAGCATCAGCATCAGCAGGGGAAAGTTGGTGGGGATGGTTGCATGGGAGGGGAGGGGATACTGGGAATGGGATCCATTACCGGCGGGGGAATTGGGGGCAGGTCTCCGAGGACAGCGACGGCTGCATTTAAAGTTGAGCCAGCGAGTGGCCCTCAGACCCCCGCGCAGCAGCACGCCAAGGCCACCGGACAGACACCCTGGGATGCAGGCCATCCGAGGCGGGCCAATCCTCAGGATTATTGCCTCAGGAGACGCCAAGTCTCCGCGCTCCGGGACACCTTGGCGTTTCCGCTGGGGCCACTGGGCCGCTGCACCAATCACATCGCTCCGTCTCGGGTCTCGATGCTCGTACTGGCTCACGTGGCGGAATGCTGTTGTCGTATGCGTCATAATCCCCAAAGAGGCGAGACTCGCCGACTTCGCGCCCAAGGTTGGCGCCAAGGCATCGCTTCCGGGGGCTCTGTGATTGGCGCTTGGCGGGCTGGGCAGTCTGCTCGGCCTTGGGTGTCTATATTCCATGCCAAGACTGCTTCCCAGGTCCGGCGATAGAGGAAGCAACTTATAAGAAGGAGGAATTCCCCGGGATCATGTCGAGGAGAGAGAGTTTAGAATTTGGAAATAAGAAGCAGAATCAAGATCTAGACCAGTTCAGATCAGATCAATCTAATGCTTTGCCTCAAGTGTATGGACTCTCATTCCATAGAGGATACAATCTACATGACACCTCCGTGATCTCCTACCTTTCAGTAGAGAAACCCTCAAGCACTACATACACAGACACACAGACACAGAAACACACAGATACCCCAATATGGGCACTGAGAAACAGTCTCAGACTGCCTCTACCCCCTCCCACTCCCCCCTCTCCGCCCCCGCCCACACCCTTCCCTATGCCTCCGTCTTGCAAGAGCTTTCTGTCAATTCAGAAGAAGGTCTCAGCACCCAAGAAGCACAATCCAGACTTCAGAAATGGGGGCCCAACGAACTCGAGGGGGACGAGGGCATCTCCCTCGCCAAGATCATCATTCGCCAGGTGGCAAACGCCATGATGCTGGTAGGTTACTCAACTGCTACTACCATTGACTTTGTTGTCGCTAACATGGCCATTACTACCCAGGTTCTCATCATTGCCATGGCTGTCAGTTTCGGCATTGAATCCTGGATCGAAGGCGGAGTCATCGGGGCCGTTATCGCCCTGAACATCATCGTAGGCGTCTATCAGGACTACGCCGCCGAGAAGACCATGGACTCGCTACGAGGCCTCAGTTCACCCACAGGTGTCGTCACTCGTGACGGAAAGACCGGTACCATTCCCGCCATGGAGATCGTCGTGGGCGATATGGTCGATTTGAAAGTGGGAGATACGGTTCCGGCTGATTTACGGTATGCTCTGCCCGTCCCTCGACGTATAGAATCCAAAGCTAACGCTACCTAGACTAGTTGAGACTATGAACTTTGAAACAGATGAAGCCCTCCTCACAGGCGAATCTCTTCCCGTCACTAAGTCATCGACTACTACCTTCCCCGCTGACACTGGACCCGGCGATCGTCTCAACATCGCCTACAGCTCCTCTACTGTCACCCGGGGACGTGCGCGTGGTGTGGTGATCAGCACCGGCATGAAAACTGAGATCGGTGCGATTGCCGCGGCACTTCGTGAGAATGGAAACCAGCGGCGCCGGCCGGTCCGTCGTGGTCCTGAAGGCGAAACCAAGAAGCGGTGGTATGTGGTGGCCTGGACGTTGACATGCACAGATGCAGTGGGTCGGTTCTTGGGAATCAACGTGGGGACGCCACTACAGCGGAAACTGAGCAAGCTGGCGCTGCTGTTGTTTGGAATTGCAGTGGTATTCGCGGTGATTGTGATGGGCGCCAACGACATGCGCGATGATAAGGAAGTGATCATCTACGCAGTAGCTACCGGGTTGGCCATGATCCCGGCTTGTCTAGTGGTTGTGTTGACGGTCACTATGGCCATGGGCACGAAGCAGATGGTCGAGAGGAACGTGATTGTACGGAAGATGGATTCCCTCGAGGCGTTGGGCGCCGTGACGAACATCTGCTCGGACAAGACGGGCACCCTCACCCAAGGACGCATGGTGGCCAAGAAGGCCTGGGTGCCGGGGCTGGGTACCGTGTCAGTCGGAGTCTCCCGCGACCCATTGGATCCGAACGACGGCGAGCTCAAAGTCAGCGATGCCATGCCCGGAGAAGGTGAAGGGGAAGGCGACACGAAGACGCCGCAAGAGATAGTGACCGACAGTGCCTTGCTGCAGCGCTATCTGGACGTCGCAGCCATGGCCAACTTGGCCCATGTGCACCGCTCCGAAGAGAACGGACAATGGCAAGCCCGTGGCGAGCCCACCGACATCGCCATCCAGGTCTTCGCGGCACGCTTCGACTGGGGCCGGGAAAGATGGACTACCGGTGACAAGCCCGTCTGGACACAACAGGCCGAGTACCCCTTCGATTCGACCATCAAGAAGATGTCCGTGATCTTCCGCCGGGACGACACAGACGTGATCTTCACCAAGGGTGCCGTGGAACGCGTCCTCGAAGCCTGCACTTCCGTCGTCTGGAACACAGACACCTCCGAACCCGTGCCCCTGACCGATGACATCCGCAACACCATCCTCCAGAACATGGAAGCGCTGGCGCGCGAAGGACTGCGCGTGCTCGCACTCGCCCACCGCACTAGCTCCTCCACCTTCACCGACGTCCCGCCCCGGGACACCGTCGAACAGGACCTCACCTTCGCCGGACTGATCGGGCTCTACGACCCCCCTCGTCCGGAGACCGCAGGCGCCATCGAAGAATGCCACCGCGCCGGCATCTCCGTACACATGGTGACGGGCGACCACCCAGGCACCGCCCGAGCCATCGCCGCCCAAGTCGGCATCATCCCCGCCAATGCACAGCTCCTCTCGCGCGACGTGGCCGATAACCTCGTCATGACAGCCAGTCAATTCGACGCGCTCAGCGAGTCGGAAATCGACGCCCTGCCCACACTCCCCGCTGTGATTGCGCGCTGTGCCCCGCACACCAAAGTGCGGATGATCGAGGCGTTGCACCGCCGCGGCCGGTACGCCGCGATGACAGGCGACGGCGTGAACGACTCGCCGTCGTTGAAGCGGGCAGACGTGGGAATCGCAATGGGCCAAGCGGGCAGCGATGTGGCGAAAGATGCATCCGAGCTGGTCCTAACAGATGACAACTTCGCAAGTATCATCAACGGTATCGAAGAGGGCCGTCGCATCTTCGACAATATCCAGAAATTCGTCCTGCATCTACTCGCAGAGAACGTAGGGTTAGCGCTCACCCTATTGATCGGCCTGGTATTCAAAGACGAGAACGGCCAGAGCGTGTTCCCTATTGCACCGGTGGAGATCCTCTGGATTATCATGATCACGTCCGGATTGCCTGATATCGGACTGGGAATGGAGATGGCGGCGAGTGATGTGATGGATAGACCGCCGCAGAGTGTACGCCCCCTCCCTCCTCTTTTCTCGATTGCACGTAATACTAACGAAGATATGAAATAGAAAAACGGCATCTTCACCCCCGAAATCATCCTCGACACGCTCGTCTACGGCATCTGGATGGCTGCCCTGTGCCTCAGCGCCTTCACCCTGGTCCTCTTCGCCTGGGGCGACGGCAACCTCGCCACAGAATGCAACAGCAGCTACTCCGACCCCTGCGACACGGTATTCCGCGCCCGCGCCACCACCTTCGTCTGCATGACCTGGTTCGCGCTTCTCCTGGCCTGGGAGATGATGCACTTGCGACGGAGTCTATTCAACATGCACGACTCATCCCCCACCAACAACTCCAAACCTAGAAACAAGTGGACGGGATGGATCTCCGATATCTACCGCAACAAATACCTGTTCTGGGGCATTGTGATAGGATTCGTGCTCACTTTCCCCGTGCTGTATATTCCTGTCATTAATGATGTGGTGTTTAAGCATATTGGGATTGGGTGGGAGTGGGGGGTGGTGTTTGTTGAGGCCGGGTTGTTTCTGGGGGGTGTCGAGGGGTGGAAGTGGGTTAAGAGGGTGGTTGTTAGGAGGTATTTGGCGAAGAGGGGGGATGATGGGAGGGGGGCGATTCACGGTGTTGGTGGGAGAAATGGGGTGGATGAGGAGAAGGTCGCTGGGGGGTTTAGTCGGTTTACGACGTTGAGTCGGGAGGAGGGGGTTTTGGGGTTGAAGAAGATTTAAATAGACCCTTTCTTTTGTGTTGGGGATGGTGTTTATAGACTATGTTTGATGTGATAGATTGTTAGAACGTGATTTGGTTTACCTACGTTGGTACATGTGGTTACGAGTATATAACCTGCGTTTAAAAAGAAACTCGAAATCATTAATTCATATATCGTAGTATGGCTATACTTAATGCCCCAGGTTCTGAGGAGCGACAGTGGCCGGGCCCTCTGGAGTAACATATGCCTATTCCAACCGGTTAGTAGTGATCAAACAAAGTTAACGGGTGTGCATACCTTGGACATTCCACCATCCACAACAAAGTCACTACCATTGACGAAACTGCTCTCGTCACTAGCCAAAAACACCACGGCATGAGCCTGCTCAATAGCCTCTCCGAACCGACCAGTGGGGAAGTGCACCTCCCGCCGGAAGCGCTTGGGCTTGTCGTCACCCAACCAGTCTTGCAGGAGGGGAGTGCTATAATCATGTCAGTAACATACCCACATTGACAGAACACATCACGATGTCCAAGAGGGGATAAACTAACTTCAACGGCGCCGGACACAGCGCATTGAACCGGAATCCCTCTCTCGCATGCACAATAGCCAGTTCACGCGTCAACGCCAACACAGCACCCTTACTAGCCGTGTACGCCAACTGAGGCGTAGCACTTCCTACTAAGGCCACCACACTCGCCGTGTTGATGATGCTGCCCTTGGTCTTCTTGTGACGACGCAGACTCAGCACGGCATGCTTGCATCCGAACCACACACCCTTGACGTTGATGTTCTGCGTCATATCCCAAATCTTCTCGGGGGTATCAACGGCGTCGGCATCGTCGGCGTGCATGATGCCCGCATTGTTGAAGATGACGTCCGTGCCGCCCCAGCTGTCCTGGGACTCAACCATGGCTTGTACGTCTGATTCCTTGGAGACGTCGCATTTGATGGTTTCGACGCGGGGAGCGGTGGGAACGACTTCCTTGACTTTGGCGAGGGCTTTTTCGAGGGCTGGGGCCGAGATGTCGGCCATTAGGATGTTGGCGCCTTCGCGGGCGAAGAGGATGCTGGTTTCGAGACCGATGCCGCTGGGTTGGTTAGCGGGTGGGGAGGGATTGAGAATTGAGATTGGTCTAGATTACCCAGCTGCACCGGTGATGATGGCATTCTTGCCTTGGAGACGACCTCTAGGAGCGGATGCCATGATTCTGGGGTTAAGTTAGCTATGATGGTGGATAGTGGGGATTGGTGCGGGGTAGAGTAGATGGCAGTGAGGGTGATGGTGTGGGATTGGCGTACTTTTGGATATCTTTGATATATCTAGAGTATGATCAATTGAGTAGAAAGACAATCGAAGTAGTACCAGCGAGAACAAGGAGAACACACTGGAAAGATGAGTAGAGAGAGATATGCAAGAGAAGCAGGGATGAAGCAGGAATGCGGGACAGTGGAGCCCGCTTATCTAATGGCGATCCCGATAAGGCAGGCAGCTGTCAGGCACGCAGGCCACCATGCATGCTGCATCTGCTCGTGTGCCGGTTCGAGACTGGTTGAATTGGTATCATTCATGGTCAAACAGACCCTGCATCTGTCGCAATTGGGCAAGACAGATGATAAGGACTGCAAGCATCCCAATCACTGTGGCTTCAGTATCAGCCTGGCGGGCCCCGTGACGGCTCCCCAGCTGATAAGCAGCGGTGGCTGACGTACGGCCGTCCTTGCGTCCCGCTTGCCTCCTCACCGTCATTCCCCTCATCCCCCAATCCAACTGCTGGTCAGTTCTCTCCACGGGCAGTACTATCCTCGAACTGCTCGTGTCATAATTCGAACACCATCATGTCCTCTGCCACCCCACCTTACGAAGTCACTCTCGAAAACGTTGCTCACGTCCTCCAGCATGACACCCGAGTCAAGCTGGCCGGTGTCGACGTCGATGGCATGCTCCGCGGCAAGCTCGTCTCCAAGAAGAAGTTCCTCTCCATCGTAGCTGATGGATTTGGCTTCTGCTCCGTCATCTTTGGCTGGGACATGCATGATCGCACGTATTTCAAAGAATTGACCATCAGCAACAAGGAGAACGGGTACCGCGATCTCGTGGCAGTTCCGGATCTGAGCAGTTTCCGTCGCATTCCATGGGAGAACAATGTGCCATTCTTCCTAGTCAGCTTTCTGGATCCCGATACGAGTGAGCCGGTCTGTGCTTGTCCGCGGGGATTATTAAAGTCCGCCCTGGGGAAGGCGGAGGCCGCGGGGTATCGTGCCATGGCGGGGGGTATGTGTTTCCGCCTTATTTCTTGAGATCCACTGACATCGTATCTTCCAGCGGAATATGAGTTCTATCAGTTCCGCGCACCAGGAACACACTCCAACCCTGAGCGCAATGCGTCGGCCACGGCCACCTTTCTCAAGGAGAACCCTGTCGAGTCCCTTCCCCCGCTGACGGAAGGCATGTTCGGGTACAGTCTGACCCGTCCCATCCACAACCAAGACTACTATTATGGGGTATTCGACGCGTGCGAGCAGTTCAATTGTGAAATCGAGGGTTGGCATACGGAGAGCGGTCCCGGTGTATATGAGGCGGTAGGTTGCATTGGGTGACGTTAAGGTCCCTGCTGACAGTAGCAGGCACTACAGTTCGGAGAGGCCAAAGAGATGGCCGACAAAGCTGGTCTTTTCAAGTGAGTGACTTCAAGCTACAGAAGATCAAACTGACCCTGCCAGATACGTCGTCAAGTCGATTGGCACCAAACACGGCATCACACCAACCTTTATGGCCAAGCCACGCGAGGGATTACCCGGTAATAGCGGACACATGCACATCTCACTGGTCTCGAGCGATGGGAAGAATGCGTTCATCCGCGATACGGCCGACCCGAACCCGCCATATCCCGATGTGGCTTATCTCTCCGACCTAGGGCGACATTTCCTTGCCGGGGTCCTTACTGGTCTTCCTGATATCATGCCCATGTTCGCACCCACCGTGAACTCTTACAAGCGACTGGTGGAGAACTTTTGGGCGCCCGTTACGGTATCCTGGGGACTGGAGCATCGGGCGGCCTCAATCCGGCTTATCACCCCACCTACCGCGAGCGCAAAGGCAACCCGGCTGGAGGTGCGTGTACCCGGGGCTGACGCAAACCCGCATTTTGTTCTAGCAGCAGTTGTCGCGTTGGGGTGGCGGGGTGTGGAGAAGAAGCTGGAGATTCCGGTTCCGCCCCTGTCCAAAGGCGAGGACATGGGCGGGGCAAGCGATAAGGGGGTCCGATTAGCCAAGTCACTGCGGGAAGCCACGACGGCGTTCATGCGCAAAGACAGTGTCGCACGGGAGGTCTTTGGCGATGCATTTGTGGAGCATTTTGGGGGCACGCGGGAGCATGAAGTGCGCTTGTGGGAGGAGGCCGTCACGGATTGGTGAGTGGCTGGAGGTGGCTGCAGTGATATGATGATACTGACTATTAGCAGGGAGGTCCGACGGTATATTGAGACGGTGTAACCGGATGGACGGAGCTGCCTGTACAGGCCAGCAGCTGGCAAGATTAGAAGCCCGTGTTACTCTGTTAATTTTGCTTCCCTGTTTTGCCCAGACTGGTCCAGATCGGACGGTACAGATTGGCTGCAGACGAGTCCGTGGCAACCCGAGCTGGAGCTGGGGTCGGGAGAGCAGCGGAAGCTAGAGTTGACAGCGATCACATGCGTTCACATGTGGAAGAGATGACTGGATGTACTTTTTGATTTCTGTTTCATAGTAGGTGTGTGGCATGTGCGTAGCGACATGAATGAGCATACATAGAGTAGCTGTGGCATTTCCATCATGTTCGAGTTTTTTGCAGCCATGCGTGAGTCACAACAGCAATGATTGAATCAGCTCCACATTATCACCAAAAAGCACTGTATCACCATCGGGACAAGTCGGTCGAGTGTAGGCGATGGCCGGACCGCAGGAAGCTTTGCCAGGACGGACGGAGGAGAGGAGCAGACAGGGCAGCAGGATGGCGGCGAACCGCGGTTGGGAGGAAGGCTCTCGGGCCTGCGGGGAGTTTAGGAGCTTATCAACATCCTCGGTTGACTGCCTGAGTGGCTAGTGAGGTGCAAGATGCAGTCTGCAAGCTGGGCAGCTGCAACAGAGCCAGCAACTACCGACCCACGTCGGGAATCATCTCGAGACCTTCCTGGATAGTTAATATAGTGGCCACTACTGACGAAAGTACTCGAATTGATCGAGTAAGAAGTACTCGGCCTGAACGATAAGCCGCGAGTCGGAATCGGTAGCCGGCGTGCCCCGCCCGTTATCGGCCGAATTGCAGCTGGTTTCCCGCGGAGAAGTCACGTGGACTCATAGCTCTGGAGCAGCCCTCATTTTGGGTTCAATCCAGCTTATCGGGACTCCCCATGGACCGCGGTTACTGAGTGAATGGTGGGACTGACGTAGTCGCTGTGTAGACATATATTCCCTCTATCCCCTCCACCTCTTGTAGCTCAGAGTCGTGCTTGTTGTTCGGGAAAGTTTTCTTCGCTACTTCCTTCATCATCTCATCTACTGTACTTCTATCCTGCCGGTCCGGATAGTATCTATACCCCATCCCCACATATACTTCCCGATAAGATAAAGCATACCAATCCTTCATCATGGTGCAAGTCGACACCCAACTCAAAGACGTCGTCATCCTCGGCAATGTGAGCTCGGAGGCTCGCAAGATCCTCACCAAGGACGCCTGTGCCTTCCTCGCCATCCTCCATCGCACCTTCAACCCTACTCGCAAGGCCCTCCTCCAGCGCCGCATCGACCGCCAGGCCGAGATTGACAAGGGTCATCTCCCCGACTTCCTGCCCGAGACAAAGCACATTCGTGAGAACGATGCCTGGAAGGGTGCTCCCCCGGCTCCGGGACTCGTCGACCGCCGTGTGGAAATCACGGGTCCCACAGATCGCAAGATGGTCGTCAACGCGTTGAACTCGGATGTCTGGACATACATGGCTGATTTCGAGGGTAAGTCCCTTTCTACTACCCCGGATTCTATTCGAAAAGAATTGTATCTAACAACAGACAGATTCCAGCGCCCCCACCTGGGAAAACATGATCAACGGCCAAGTCAACCTCTACGACGCCATCCGCCGCCAGGTCGACTTCACCCAAGGCGGCAAGGAATACAAGCTGCGGACGGACCGCGTGCTCCCCACCCTCATTGCTCGCGCTCGTGGCTGGCACCTCGACGAGAAGCACTTCACTGTCGACGGCACCCCCATCTCCGGCAGTCTGTTTGACTTCGGTCTGTACTTCTACCACAATGCCAAGGAGCTCGTTGCGCGCGGCTTCGGCCCGTACTTCTACCTCCCCAAGATGGAGTCGCATCTGGAGGCGCGTCTGTGGAACGACGTCTTCAACCTGGCTCAGGATTACATTGGTATGCCGCGCGGAACGATCCGTGGTACGGTGCTGATCGAGACCATCTCGGCGGCGTTTGAGATGGACGAGATCATCTACGAGTTGCGCGAACACAGCTCCGGATTAAACTGTGGTCGCTGGGATTACATCTTCTCCTTCATTAAGAAGTTCCGCAAGCACCCCAACTTTGTGTTGCCGGACCGCTCGGACGTTACTATGACGGTGCCGTTCATGGATGCGTATGTGAAGTTGTTGATTAAGACGTGTCACCGCAGAGGAGTTCATGCTATGGTAGGCCACCCATTTCCCATTATACTTGATGACGATGCTAATAAACTTGTAGGGAGGCATGGCCGCTCAAATCCCCATCAAGAACGACCCCGCCGCCAACGACAAGGCCATGGAGAGCGTGCGCGCCGACAAGCTGCGTGAAGTGCGCGCCGGACACGACGGCACCTGGGTTGCGCACCCTGCGCTGGCCTCCATCGCCTCGGAGATCTTCAACACCTATATGCCCACTCCCAACCAGCTGTTCGTCCGCCGCGAGGACGTTCACATCACCGCCAACGATCTCCTGAACACCAACGTCCCCGGCAAGATCACCGAGGACGGCATCCGCAAGAACCTGAACATCGGCCTGTCCTACATGGAGGGATGGCTCCGCGGTGTGGGCTGCATTCCCATCAACTTCCTGATGGTACGCCCCATCTCTATCCCAAATATCCCAAGAATAACATATACTAATAGATATATAGGAGGACGCCGCCACCGCCGAAGTTTCCCGCAGTCAGCTCTGGCAATGGACGCACCACGGCATCACCACCTCGGACGGCAAGAAGGTCGACAAGGCGTACGCGCTGCGTCTCTTGCAAGAGCAGGCGGACAGTCTCGCGGCCAAGGGTCCCCAGGGTAACAAGTTCCAGCTTGCAGCGCGGTATTTCGCCGGCCAGGTGACGGGCGAGGACTATGCCGATTTCCTGACGAGTTTGTTGTATAACGAGATTTCGTCGGCGGGCAAGGCGGAGCCGGCTGCTAAGCTGTAAGCTGAGCAGTTTGCACTTGATTTTCTTCCGTAATGGTGTTACGATATGTTTATGGCATGGGTCTTACTTGTTTATATTATTAGGATGGATGGGTTTGTGGGTTTGATAGGCTGGACTTATTATTATCATCATCATTGTTGCTGCGATTGTTATTGTGGCATTACACATATTGAATGAATGAATGCATTTTCATTAGAGATGATCCTCGGTATATCCAAGTTGATAACGAAGTTACTGCTGTATTGGCACGTTCTATATCGCTCTGAGATGCGTAGTACAGTTGTTGCCAGTCTTGAATGGCATGAGGGTATGATTAAGATATACTCGGTAGGATGAATACTGTTAGATACTATGATACTTTTACCAGTAGTCTGTAATCAAGAGTATTTTACGCTATAAGTCTCAATCGTACTCACCAAGGTGTTCATGCTGCGATTGAATTGTCTGATTGCAATTGGACTCATAGTAAAGTAGTTGATTAACCGACTAGTTAACAGTACCTCAGTTTCTCTGGCTGACTGCCTGTACCTCTTCATCTGCCCCCCTCTGTCTTTCTCAACATAGATCCCACAAACCACCAGATTTTTGCACAATACCTCACCACGGACAAAAGTATAAGCCAATCCACTCATCTCATAGACCATACTTCGGAGTATATAACCACCAACTCAATGATCACAAGAACATACCACTCACCCCTTCCAAACATTCTACGCCTTCCTTTACTATCATTCCTTTTCTACTTCTCATCAACATGATCACTCTAATTTTAGGATAGAAAGGAGTGATTGAATTCTAGTCAGTCATTGCTGACATGAATACAGGAAGTTATATGAATACGGCGATGTTCCGGTAGCAACTCAGCAACCCTCACTGCAACGGCCAGCTACGCCATTCCATAGGCCAGGTCTTTTCTTCTCGACCCGACGGCCAAATAGACTCGAAGATCTCCAAATCCATACTCCGCATCGTCTGGCCCCGTTTGCGTTTCGGCTTGAACCGGTTCTCCACCCGTATCCCGTTGGCCCCATCCCACTCGACCTGCCACGCGCCACCCATCTCCTGGTGGTAATCCCCATCTCCGAGCAGCGCATGGGCCGTGATGCCCGTGGATCCCTGATACTGCCCAGCCTGACCCGAGAGGGGGTGCAGTCGGAGCACTCGGAGGGAACTCCCCGTTTTCTGGGCCCAGATGCGCGTGAAGATCGCTGTAGCTAGCGTTTCGTCGAACGCACTGTTGATAGCGGTGTCCCGAACCGTCCACTTGGGAAGGCTGCCCTGCCAGGTTTGGATCGTCTGGCACTCGTACGCAGTGAGCTCCCGTGGGGGGAACGGGGTCTCATAGCCTGAGACCATCACGGGCAGGCAGTTGAGGTGAAGGTCCAGTGTGTGGAGGGCTGGAAAACGGCCTAGGGCGTCGTAAGCGGCCGTCTCGGTTGAGTGGCCCCGGTATCGTTGCACGGTGATCCGCAGCGTCTGTAGGACAGGGCAGCGGGCCGCCATGTTGGCGATCACGTCCGCAGGGAAGATCGGAGCAATTTGCCCCTTCCGCGCGAGTCGGTAGGACTCGTAGTTCTGGAACCAGGGTCGGGGCCTGTGCAGCTGCAGCTCGGTTAGCGTTGGGCCGTGGCGGTCCAGGATAGCGGTGGGGAGCCATTCCGGGTGGTAGGACCCCAGCAGGCAGAGATAGATCAGGGGCGGGAGGGCGTTGAACATGGCTTTGACTGCCGAGAGCCAGGTGGGAGAGGTTTCTGGGGAGTTCAGGGCGAGGGTTAGTCGCTTTAGGGCCCGGAAGGGCTGCAGTTCGGCGATGGTTGTTAATAGGGCGATGTCCTCGATGGCGCCGGCGGTCAACGCGGTGAGATATCCCAGATCGGTAACCCGGGACCAGGCCTGCAGGTTCTGCGCGGTCATCTTGCTTATCAATGGGAATGAAAGCATTTCCAGTTGCGCGCGTGGATGGGTATTGATCTCGTCCTCCGACGGCTGCGCCTGCAGCCACTTGGTGTACCGCTGACAGGAGCTGGGGCCCGGCGTGGCGCTGATCTGCAACGTCAGACGCTTGATCCCCGGCGCTTGACGGAGAATGTTCCGCAGAAAGCGATCCGGATGCTCGGTGTAGAAGCGGCCATTGGGATGTTCATAGTAGACGATCCAAGCGGCCTTCACCACGGGAGAGCGGATCCATTTATTTCGCGTGATATCCGCTCGGTAGGTATCGGGGCTGGCGGAGAACACCGAAACGTGACAGTCTGGATGAGTCTCCGCTAGGGTATCCAGCAGTGCCGGCGGGTATGATGGGTACAGTAAAAGATGAAGCCGCTTCAGACACACCAACCGTTGGAGGAGGGAGATAATCGGGTCCCAATCCCCTTTGTACGCGCGCAGTATGGGAGGGACATCGATATTCTCGGGGCGCGTCTCATTGAGATACCTCCCTACGTTGATATCACCTAGGTCCGAGGTGGTGGGATCCACGAGGGTGAGATATCTGATATGCGGCAAGACGAGAGTGGCGTCTAGCAGCTGAAGCACACTGTGAGGTGGCTCGTTCGGCTTCAGGCGGAGAGTAAGATCTTTATAGAGACTCGGCGCCGTAATCCGGTTCCACTGGCGGTTCACCTGTGATAAAGCCCGCAGGGTTTCCCACGACACATCGCGAATCTAGGTTCCGGATTAGTTGGTTTCAAAGGCTAACCGCAGTGTTCTTACTATTCCAACGATTAAATGCTTTACCTCCAGAGGTAGACAATCCATGTTCACGAGTCCGTAAGATGGCAGTGGAAATGATGAAATGAGGTAGTGACGGGGTACTATTATACATTGAGGACAGATGTCAGGTGACTATACTCATCCCTATGGTATAGTATAGATGCTTCACACTAATTCTCTTTCCATCTCAATTGCGTGATAAATTATACCTCATACTAACGAAGATCATTCCTTTCGAAAAACCATCCTGTAGCCGAATAAACAAGATAAATGCATGCATTATCATCACCAACAAGGAACCCACCCCACACCACCGTTTTCACCCATTTCCAACCCAACCCTTATACAAACTACCCTCCCCCCTGCAAATCCCAACCACCCCCCCATCCCCCTACCCATCCCCAACTCCCTCATCCAAAACCCTCCCAAAGGAAAGACATTTAGATATACTCCCAAGCCCCCACACTCGCGTTCCTTCCCCACGCCCTCGCCCCAAAACCCAAACACTCATTAACATTCCCCCCAGGCACCGTCGCATTCTTCCAATTAACATACACAATCCACCTACCCCCACCAGCACCCGGCGTGGCCGACGGACTCACTGAGGGACTCACATAAGATGAAGAAGGGGTCGCCTTACTAGGCTTCGGCGTAGAACTAGGCTTTGGCGTACTCGACGACCCACCATGAACACTACTACTACTCGCACCACCCCCACCGCGCACAGGACACGCTATGAATCCTCCAGGAGAGCCCGTATAATTCCAGCTTCCGTAGGGAGTACCCGGCGTATAGCTGAATGGGCCGGTAGTTGAGCCGGGAGGCATGTATGATGAGTGCGGGGCTGTGAATGATAGGGCGCCCGTGGGGAGGATGTAGATTTGTTGGCCGCCGGGGACGGAGACTGCCTTTTTAGGGTTCCCCGGAGGGGTGTGGGGTTAGTGGGTGGTTTTTGAGGGTGGGGATATGGGGGATAAGGGGTAGGGGTAAGGGGACGTACTAGGCCATTCCCACCAACGATAATGGTTTCGTTTCCTGGGGGACATTCGCCCTCGGAGGCTACACCTGGAGGACAGTAGGAGGAGGTGCGGCCGCCGAGGTAGAAGCGGCCGGAGAAGATGGTTAGTGGGAGGTTGTTGATGGGGGAGTCGGAGCGGTAGGCGGTCACGGTGAAGGAGGAGGTGGATTGGGAGGAGTCATCAGAGGAGGATGAGGAGGAGGATTCTTGGGTGTAGGAGGGCGTGGGGAGGAGGGAGAGGGTGGTGAGGAGGAGGGTTAGGAGGTTCATTCCTTTTTTTGTCGTATGGATGTTAAAGGATGGAATGGAGTGGAGTGTGGTGTGGTGAGTAAATGGGGAATTGTAGTATGAGTTGAGATAGGGCTTTCTTTATACTAAAATTTACTGTAGTTCAGTGTTGATGTGATCTCTCTGAAGTCATCCGGGGAAATATTCCACTGAATTGGTGTTGCAGTTGGAACGGGTAGGGTTTGGGCGGAAGGCATTCCCGCAGCGGGGGAAGTAGACGGTGCGGCGGAGATGGGCATGATTTCATGGTTATGCTGGGCTTCAGATGGATTCAATGGGTTCGTGTAGGTGCTGTTGGGACAGTGAGACCCAAGCTAAGTTAGTTTAGCTGACCAAATCCCATGTGATTTTGGTTGATATGGCGATATACCTGTCCTTATCAAGGGTTGAAACTGGTCTTTTACTTTGTCTATCACTCCTCAACCCACTTGAAAACATGCTAGAATTAATGCTCAATACTGACAGTCTGGTCTCAATGCAAGTTCACAACAAGCACAACAACAAGATCTTATCACCCAATCTTCCCAACTCATCCTAGAAGTTCTATTGAGTCAGCCATATACATCTAATACAGCCTGTGAGCAAGACAGTCCGCACTCACTCTAACGTTTCTTGGGAGTCTTACACCCACAATGTTCAGTGCGATGGACAATCACCATGCATATGGCCTACTCCACCACCTATAAAATACACCTCAGTTAGCCCCATCCACACTTCCTCCCATCAGCGAACTCACAAGAAAAGCAGACAACATTTCCCGCACAACCAGACACTTTATGGTCGCTACCATTGCCTAAAATATCAGTCAGCGTCAGCTCACTCCGACATATCTGCCACTCCAAATCATACGAACATTTACCACAGCATTTGTCACACTCAGCCTCCCAGTGCTCTGGGGATCCGCAGTTGCGACACCTGCCTTCCACATGTCGGCGAGAAATAGCCTTTCTCATGTCTCTGTGAGCCCGCGAGAGGGCTTCCCAAGACAAGGAGCGGGACACCCTTGCCCTCGGAAATCTGTATGCGCTGCCAGGTCTATATCCCCTCTGTCGGGTAACCTGGGATGAAGATCGGGAATGGGGCTGCTGCACTTGGATCCTCATCCTCTGTATATAACTGGTGGGGTTGTTCACGTCCTCGCCGCCGCCGACCTCTCGTCTTCTAGATATTCACACATTCATTCAGCCCCATATCATCTCAGCGTATGCTTCAACATCAATAAAAACGGAAGTGAGAAAAGTCGTGTATGCAGAGAATTTCGAACCCACCTAACCCTCGAAACGAATTCAACCCGGAGGACTGCTGAAGCGTTGCCCTCCATGATTAGGCTGTATCTATACCGCTAGGAACAATACCGAAGTTTTTAACTAAGCGCAAAGGAAAGAAAAAAGGCAACCGTGCCAACTAGATAAATGAGTGAAATGGAGACTGACAGAAAGATAGGATAGAATGTGAAGAGAGAAAGAACCACTGCAAAGACGATAAATCTGGGGGTATTTGTATTCTCTACAGCAGTCACTGACCCACTTTCCTGAACACAGTCTCCCACCTCGAACACCACCTCCACCCTTGACGCGACTTGGGGCCAACAATTCCATGCATCTGCAAGAGGGGGAGGAAAATGAACGAATCAGACCAGGACACACTGTTGGAATCGTGCGGTAGTGCGGTAACGCGCGTGTGCAAGGCTGCGGGCAGAGGTTGCGGTGCACCGCCTCAGCCATCCATCAATGAGGCTTGGGTAGAGTACCTACTACTGCCTAGTAAGACTTGTTCGCTTGTGATGTCAGTTCTGCTGTGTTTGCGTAGCAGCACCGTGAAATTTCGAAACGGTTATGGTCCTTCCGGGTCGTCGGGCTGAGAGCTGTCGTATCGTATAAGGTCGAAAGCGTTGGATGTTAGATGGTAATAGGGAGAGTGGTATCTTCATGGATAGGGTGTAATGAAAGGGCCGACATATGCGCTTGCTGGTCCGGGTAGGCTCACTTTGTCCTTACTATGTTCTTCATGCAGCCCCGCTTACAGGCGATGGCTCAGCACGGACTAGAGAAAAAGAGGTAGGAGTAGGGGCAATACTGCAGCGAGAACCTGCCATGTACTTCCAAAACATCATTGATAGCAATTCTATATGTACATGAAAATCTAATAATAATATCTCAAAATCTAGTAGTATCCCCGCAACGGGAGATCTCTCGAACTCTGCCCTACCCAAATCTCAAAATCTCCTTCCGGCATCACCCAGTTTTGCTGCCGCACACTCCAATAGCTCAGGTCCTTCCGGCTGAGACTCATCGATACTGTCTGCGCCTCACCGGGCTCCAGGGCCACCTTGGTGAAGTTTCGCAGCACACGCACCGGAAAGTCGATTTTCTCCGGCACCCGTTCGATCTTCGTCTTGCTACTGCTCCGCTCATGCACCTCCACCCAGTCGCCCTCCTCCGTCACTTCCTCGGGGAAGGAGACATACATCTGCACCACCGTCTGACCCGACCGGGGGCCCGTGTTCCGGACTTGCACTTCCACGTTCGCCATCTCCTCGAACAGAGATGGGTTGCCGCCCAAGCCACCACCGGCTTCTGACGGTGTCCGCGGCTTGTCATAGCCGATCGGGTAGTGCGTGTAGTTCGCGGGAGTAGTACCATCCAGAGATGGCAGGTAGGGATAGATATACTTGCTAACGACGTTGAATCCCGGGGGGAAGAAGAAAGACTCGTTCCGTGGCGGCTCAGGATCATACGCTGGGGGAGAAATCGTGGCGGGACGCCTCGATGCGGGCAGCCGTGACTTCGACCGCAAGGCGTTGACCTGCAATTCGGCCAACTCGAACGTAGCGTAAGACAGCCCATAGCCAAACTCGAACCGCGGAGTGATATTGTGGCGATCGAAATAGCGGTGGTCAATGTACAGTCCATCCGTAAAGTCTACCTGGGGAACCGGTGCATTAGGCTCGTACAACACTTGCGCGCCCGGCCCGTAGTGGGCCAGGCTCTTGCCCACCGTGTACGGCAACCGACCGCTGGCATCGACCTCTCCGAATAGCACGTCCACCAGAGCGTTGCCACTCTCCTGTCCGGGCAGATGCGCGAACAGGACGGCGGCGACGCCCGGGAGGTCAATCCACGACTCGACGACCACCGGGCCCACGGCGTGCACCACCACCACGGTCGGCCCGCCACAGCTGTTGGCTACCGTCTTGATCAGCGAGTCGCCGCCCTTCTGCAGGAAGAGATTGTTGCGATCGCCGCTAATGCCGCCCGAAGAGATGTAACCCTCGCCGGAGTCGGCGTTCGCAAACACCAAACACAGATCCCGGTCGGCAGCATCGGCGGGCATCACTGCATTCCGCATGTATGAATGCATGTCGATCTCGGTAGCCCAGGCGGTGTTCAAAGCATCGATCGGACTAATCAGGTAGGGAAATTCTACCGTCCCACTACCCCAGCCCATGGCCAGAGTGCCCTGGTTGCAGCCCCGGTCTGGGCAAGCATTGGGTCCTCCGGCCGGTCCGGCGTCGTCGCCATACACGCCCACCCGATAGGGACCACCGGATGGACTCACTGGCCGGCGGGACAAGGGCAGTGTGTTCTGGTCGTTCTTCACCAGCACAATGCCTTCGGCCGCCACCTTGCGAGCAATGATGGAGTGTGCGTTCTCGCCTTCGCCCTGAGCGTTGATAAACCGGTTCACGACGCCGTAGGCTTCATCATCCGGCGATCCTTGGTGCAGCCATCCGACTTCATCGTTGGTCCACGAGGAGAAGGTGGGCCCGCCGTCACCCTCCGGAGGAGGCCGAGGCCACAAGTCCTGGCCGAGATGGTACCAGGAGGCCACAATGCGGGTCACCATGTCGTTCAAACGGTCCATCGGGACAGACGTGTTCAACACTGCTCGAGTCAGCTCCGGTCCCCACAAGGACCTTCCGTCTGCCCAGTGGAAACCATCACCCGGCATACTCATATCCAGGCCTCCCAGAGCACTGTTGATGCCTGACCGCTGAGCCAGCCAGTCCGACTGCACGAAACCCTGGAAGCCCATCTCGTCCTTCAGAATACCATTCAGTAGCTTGCTATTCTCACAAGCATGGCTGTTGTTCACCATCTGGTACGCGCACATGACACTGGCGACATCAGCCCGGATACTCTCAGCAAACGGCCAGGCGAACACCTCGTGCAAAGCGCGGTCGCCAATGTTGGATGACATGGCCGAGGCGATTCCCCACTCATGCGGCTGTCGGAAGTGCTCTTGCTCATTCAGAATGTAATGCTTGGCCGTGGCCATAACGCCGTTGCTCTGGATGCCGCGAATGGTCTCCGCGGCGGCGACACCCTGCAGCACAGGGTCCGAGCCAAACGACTCCCAATTGCGACCGCCCGCAGGCATCATACCGAGGGAGCCCATTGACGGGCCCAGCAGCACGTTGACGCCCTTTATCCTGGCCTCCTCTCCCAGAGCCACACCGCGCTGTCGGATCAGGTCTCGGTTCCAGGTCGCTCCTGTTGTAATGCCGGCGGGGAAGGCGGAGATGAGGTCGGCGTAACGCAGTCCGAGAGGTCCGTCCTGTAGACACAGCGAGGGGAACTTGACCAGATCGGCGGAGCCTGAGCAGTTAGCAGCCATCACCCCTAGCCTTCAACCAGACATACCTGTATTCCCGACACAAAGCCCCATCTGCCATCCAACGCCAGTAGTGATGTTGATCTTCTCGATGAGGGTCATCTGTCTGACCAGCGCCTCCGCCTTCCTGTAATCCTCTGCCCATTCTTCGAGCGCGCCCCCCTTGGGGGTAGGGAACCAAGACTCCGCCGGGGTCATATCCTACAGACATCAGCATCACACTCACAAACTCGGGTATAACCACAAACAAACCCGTTCAGATTCATCTTCCGACCAAGCCAGATTCAAAAACGCCCAGACCATCATACCCAATGCGACGAAGATAACGATCAGCGTCCGCCACAGCCATCGAGAATAATAGTATGCCC